CTGATCAGCCAGTGCCCATCAGCTCTTTGAGGGCACTTCATCAGTCAGAGATCCTAATCCCGGGGAGAGCCCATTCCTGCCCAATATTGTGCATTTTTTGCACTTAATTCAGCAGGCCTTGCCAAAGGAGGTAATTCTGAGCTCTCACTAGCCTTCCACCCAGTGGGAACAACCCCATTTTCCTCCATTAAGCGTCACTCACAGTGTCTGAACCATGATCTTTGATCAGAACTGGAAAAAGTTGAAGATGCAACAGGTTTTCAACAATTACAGAGACAGAAATACGGTGGAGATGAGTATAGAATAAAAAGGAGAAGTCTGAGAAAACATGCCAGACAGTAGAGATTAAATGACATTGAAACATAGAAAATAGGTAAGGAGTAGGCCATTTGGCCCTTAGAGCCTGCACCACCATTGAATGTGATCATGGCTGATCATGCAATTTCAGTATTCCACTCCCACTTTCTCTACATACCCCTTGATCCCTTTAGCCACAAGGACTGCGTCCAGCTCCCTCTTGAATATATCTAATGAACTGGCCCCAGCAGTTTTCTGTGGTAGAGAATTCTGCAGGTTCACACTCTCAGAATGAAGAAATTCTTCCTCATCTCAGTCCTGAATGGATTTCCTCTTATTCTTAGACTGTGTCTCCTCGTTCCGGACTTCCCCAACATTGGGAACGTTCTTCCCATATCTAGCCTGTCCAGTCCCATCAGGATATTATGTTTCTCTGAGATTCCCCCCTCATTCATCTAATAAAAAGGATGATGTTGCAAGGCAAGAGGGACAAGTAAGGACACAGAAAGATGGGCTTAAAAGAAGTGTATGTAGTCATGACACAAGCATTATTCAGCAGCTGCTATCTTTAACAAAAATTGAGGCAGTGATTATAACAATGAAACTGTTAAACTCTGTGTTGAATCTGGAAGATTGTCAAATGCTTAATTGAGAAATGAGATGCTGACTCTTGAACTGAAGTTCAGTTTCTTTGGAACAGTAATGTGAGGCCAAGGACAGGGATAACAAATTGGCAGAAGGTTAGAGATTGTAAATGAAAAGCAATAAGGGCTCAAAAACCTGCTTGCAGATTGAAAAGTTCCACAGCTAATGTCAAATTTGCTGCATCCCCAATATCTATTATCAAGGGAGCCAAATGCTGACAATATGTTTTTACTGAGATGTCACTCACATTTGAAAATAATAGAACAGATGAGTGACTGCTTAGCCTTCTGTGTGAACAGCTTCATAGTACAGCATCACAAGCAGATTAAACCCTTAATTTATTAAAAAAATCCATTTAATTCTACCCTTTGACATTCTCCTTTCCAAGTAGAGATGTTTAGTGAGACTTTGTTTAAAAACTAATATCCATGTCTCAAAGGAAAAGTGCTCTAGAAGTTGGCATTGTTTTCAAAGGTGGAACAATGGTTCTACCACTGATAAAAATAAGCGCCTCACAAGTACCATTTTATTTGAAAATATCTGAAACAGATAGTATAATATATCTAGTGGGGAGTCTTGATGAGCCAAATGGCCTATTCCTGTTCCTTTGTTCCTATGTCTGCTGTCATACTAGGGACTAATATTGAACATAGCAAGCTTAATGGGCTGTAGAAGGGTTCCATCTGGCTGGTTTTTTTCAGGGAGCTTATTGTACTGAGGTCATTCCAAGGCTAAAGAGAGAGGCGAATCTGTCGTCCTACTGTTGAGAAACAACCTTTATTAGCCATTTACGGTTTACACATAAGAGGGTAGGGTAGAGCCTTCCTAGAACTCTGCAGGCTCCATCCCCATTCCAAGAGTCCCTCCTGTCAGTAGGCGACATTGATAATGTATGTTGTTCATTAGCCTAATGGGACTTATCCATTATCTGACACTTAGGATAAGATGTGGTGGGCTGTAGTTGGAGGCAAGGTGAAGAGGAATAAACTGGTTGCTCTAAGCAGTGTAAGAGATTGTGAACCTAATTATTTGAAACCAACCACATGCAATGCAATGAATCTTCATATTTGATTGTTTAAAAACTTTGGATCTGTATGAGCAAGTTAACCATTTAGAAGTATTAAAGTTATACATTTGCAGTACAAGAGGAAGGTAACGAACAGGAAGCTGAATAATAGAAAGCATTTAAGGGGAGAAGTGAGTTTGAAGAATCAGTATCACCAAGCCTGTGTTCCCCACTGGAAACAAGACCTTTTGAAATTACAACATAATTGCACCAATGGTGAGACACTTATTCATTACACAATATGATGACTATACAATGTCATCAATCATGTTCAACCACAAGAATATGTTGGTGCTTAGATACCCAGTGTTAGAGCACTGTTCCTAATAATCTATCATCTTTTCACTATTTTCTCACAGTTGGAAATAATGAACAGTGAGAGAAATCTTTTGCTGCCTATCATCGACTAATGTTCTCTTGTGAAAGTGGACTCAGGAGTCTGTGAGTCGAAGTTCATCCTTCAGTGGTGTTCAGCAGTGTTTCCACGGCAGCTGGTGTACCTGCTCCTGTTGGATATCATATGTAAAGTCAGTTTTATAATGCACTCAGACAGGATGGATTATTAAGAATTACCTGAAGTTGTTTATTTATGACAATCTAATGGGCTCTTGTGCCCATACATCCCTCCAACCAGAGGTAGAACATGAATTAATGACCACTGTAATGCCTGCATTTTTACATGTTGTTAGTAGGAGCTTCCAGGTAGATGAAGAGATTCTCTCCTGCATCTCCTGATATCAGCAGAAGCCAGGAGAAGATAATTCCACTCCCATAACAGCAAGGCAACCTTAGACAACATCAGTAGAGCAATCAAATAAAACCAATGGTGGAGGAGAGGAACCAAGAGACCCCTTGAAGAATAAATTTGAGCATCAAAATGATACTTATGTATAAATCCATTTTGTTGTTGCAGTTAAATCATCAGGAGTGCAGGTTTGGGAGTTGCTCATCCAGATTGTGTAGGAGGTGAATTAGTTAACTGGGGTGATATGATTCAGTAAGTACTTGTTGATGATATTCTCATAATTGGTTACTCATCAACGAAATGATGGTTGGCAAACACATTTTTGTGAAAACTATACCCCTTTAAAAGAAAAAAAGCTTTTTTTCAAGCAGCTGTGTTGATAAATTAAAGTAAGTACGGCCTGTTTCAGTGAATGCTCAGTAAACAATAGAACTGGAGCATTTTGGATAGTTTCCAGTCCAAATGACAGGTCTGCTTTGTGAATTTCTTGCCAAATTGTTGCATCGCTGCAAGTTAAGTCACGCCTGTAGCACAGAGGAAACAAACCAAAGCAATCATTAAATTCACAGTAGTGTGATAAGCGAGACAGCGCCTTACCAAAAAAAGTGTATATAATCATTTTTATTGTGTTCCTGACAATGCTGTGCTTGCATTATGTACACCAGCTGTGCTTGAATTCAAAGATGAACCATGTCTAGCACTTGTATTTATTTACCTGTGAAATTTAGCCAATAGGGAAGCAGCTGCATGTTTCTTAAGTAGTGGCTTTAAAAATCCACAAGTAACTCTGGCAACGTAAGACTTGGGAAGCACAAACTGTAATCTGAAATTGTGTGTGTAATACAATCCTCATTGGCACAGAGTGAGAGGTGAAAAGCATTTTTCCATTGTATAACCTGCCTTTATTTCCTTGATGTGGAGATGCCGGTGTTAACTGGGGTGGACAAGATCAGAAATCACATGATACCAGGTTATAGTCCAACAGGTTTATTTGAACACACAAGCTTTTGGAGCCTCATTCCTTCTTCAGGTGTTAGTGAGAGAGGTAGTATCAGACACAGAATTTATAAGTAAAAGATCAAAGTGTCACACCACTGATGAGGATGTATTAAACAAACCTAAGATGCTGTTAAATCTTTAATCAGTTAGAAGGTTTTAATTGATTAATATGTATATGTAAATTCCTGAATTCCTTTGAAGTTACTGTTCTGAGAGAACTAAAAGTGTTATCAGTGTAAAGAAGAGGTGACATTTTAGGTCAGACAATGCATGTTTGGTATGAAGTCTTATTTAGAAACTGTTTGTGCTTTGGTTTGGAGTCAGACTGGTTTTATTTCTAAAGTGGGAATTCATAAAACACCACATTGACTGACTGTCTATAAAATGTGTGCTTTTTGAACAAAATAGAATCAAAATAGAATACCTGCAAATAAAAATTCAGTCCATAGAGTCACATGTGTGCATGCACTTGAGAGAGAGAAAGAGAGAGACTTGCCACAAATTTTCCAACAGAAAACCATATACAGGAAGGCTCAGAAAAAAAAAAATTACGTACGTATATGGAAGTATTCGGGCTGAAATACTTCCAGGGTTTAAAGATTGTACAATAATCACTTAGCAATTCCCCTAAAACCCACAATTTCTACCATGAGAAAGATATGGTGAATAGCTCAGGGAACACCATAATTTCCAAAATCCTCTCTGATGCATATAGTGTACCAACCTCGACTATATCACCATTCCTTCCTAGTTGCTAGGTCATAATCCTGGAACTTTCTACCTTCTAGTTCAAGAAAGTAGCTTGCCACTACCTTCTTGAGGGCAATTAGGATTGAGTACGAAATACTGGCCTTGCCAGCAATGCTAATAAATCAGGAATAAATAGGAAAAATATTTTAAACATTAACTTATCTTTGCAGACTCCTCAATCAACCATCTCAATCAACTGCTTTTGTCACTCTCACATATCTGCAAGATATATCTTTATGTTTCATGTCAGATTGCAATTAAAAATGTTTTCTACCCCATTATGAACTACCGGGATGTTAAATACCTCGGAATGTCTCAACGTAACAGTACTACTATGCACTCCCACATATTACGACATGGTAAAAGGCATTATCACGCTCAATGGTTGAAATATGAGGACATGCATATGTTGAAGAAGCAGTAGTGTGGGCTAAGAGGATCTGCAGGAACTTTAAACTTATTTTTGCTGTGATCTTTAACCATTGCACACTGTTACAGTTTCCAGAGCTACATCATGCAATGATCCCGGGGTTCCTCAGAATGGCACTCGAAGTGGAGACAGCAGAGAGCCTCAAGATTCAGTTGTGTTTCAATGTGACCCTGGATATGTCCTACAAGGAACAGCTACCATCATGTGTGTCCAGATTGACAATAGATTCTTCTGGCAGCCTGATCCACCCACTTGCATAGGTATTGATTTTCCTGTCTTGTAGCTAAGCGGATGCTGTGTTTTTCAGACTGTATGGAGCATTTTTTAAGACTATTTTTAACACCGTCCTTGAGATCGGTTACTGAAAAGGTGCACGAGGTAACTAAACAGAGGTTCTGTTTTTAAAACTAACACTATATTTCATCAAGTTGATTCTTTTTTGAAGAAATTTATCTAATGATAAAGCCAATAAGTTGAAATGATTTTGGCAAAATCAACACAACTGTTAAAAGGGACATTACACTGCTGAGCAAACTGCACCTATTAACTGATTGTTCTTATCAAGCAAACTGTGTTCTATTCATAATGACCAAATCTCTTTAGGTGAGCTTTCTTGTTAATAACATCCCTGTTAAATTCCACATATCAAATTGAAATTGAATTAGAAAATAACTTATCCTTCTCTTTCTGTAATCATGCCTGTCTTCTGTCCAGTCCACCCACTGTTTATGGATTATATTTTTCACCCACCTCCGTGTTAATATTGGTGCAGCTAATGGGAATTCACACCTTCCTGTTTGCCTGCTGGCTAGGAATCAATAGTTTCTTCACTTCAGAGACTGATTTGCCAATCTTTGTTTGCTTCATTTTAAAGATTGGATTAGCTTTGGCCTTGTTAGCATGGTTAATTTATTCATTTGTTTGTGTACTTAATTGTAAGCTTAGTAAATTAGGAAACTTCCAGATTCACAAAGGCAGGCCATTGAGTCCAACAAATTTGGTCTCCCATTGAAGCTCTTTATTCTCCTCCAATTGATTGCATTTAACTTTATCTTGAATGATTTGGATTTTGCTTCCATTTAGGACTGAATTGCCTTCTATCGGTGGATGTGAGTGCTTCCCAAATTAATAGTAATCCCACAACGAAAATGGTAACAATGTAGCAAGCGCACAAGATGTGTTCATGTAAAAATATTTATAAAGAGCTCAATTCTAAGATGTATGTCTGGTTAGTCGGATTATGACTGTCTGTCCCAACTGATTTTGGTACGACATAGTTGTGAAATGCAGTGATGCCATTTCATACAACTTCAGTACTGATGCACTTGCTTATCATACTCGTGGGCCAAATCAGTTTGATAATGCTGAATCCTTTCATTCACATCCAACATTAATGGCAACAGCTGACTGGCCACTTTGTTGAAACTGACACAAGTTTTGTGTCTTAGAAATATTAATCAGCAAGCAGGAAACAAGACAAGGGGGTTCCTTAACGATTTTGAATTCTCTTCACACCAACAGTGTATGTACAAATGAGGAAGTTTGGAATGCAAAGGTGGATTAATTTTGCCATAGTCTATTTAACTTAATTGAGTAGCCAAAACTGTATTTAAAAAAAAAACAAAACAAGAACAGTTGAGAAATTTATAGATTTGACATAATCCTTCTTTTCTACTACATCAAGTGCTAAATTGCTGGGCGAGAAGAAATGGGATAGACCATAATTCTATGGAATAGAGAGAGAGACAATTGGAATCCACATGTAAAATGCGTCATGGCTTGTTTTGTATTTTTGTGGGCACTACAACCTAGTTCATTGGCATCAACATTTTTTTGCAATCTTTTAGGATTTGCTTCTTTGCTTTTAATCAAAAATGAGTGTCTTAATTTTTCAAATTTCTTTGTTTAGATTTTGGTTTAGTTCATAAGTTTGCTTTGGAAGTTCCAATGCCATGCAGTAAGTAATATATGAATAATTTGTTAGGTTGAAACCAGGAGTTAAATCGTCCATTGATCTCCCACCTTTTATGCTAGTGCACCCATGCTATTTTGCAAAATTCTGAGTTTTGACTTGCCAGTTAAAAGGCAAAATTGTCATGAATAAAATTGCTTTAAAAAATCTTGTAAGAATTTAGTTGGCTAAATCCGTTGGCTAATTTTAATGAAATGATATCAATTACTTGTGTTTGATCAGGCTACAAATCATGTTCTTTGTTCTTTCTGCATGAAGCAACATGAACAGACTACGCCTTCAAAACATAAAATGCAAACATCTTGATTCTGATATTCCTTGTATACTTCTATGTACATAAGATAGAATTCCTACAGAGTGGAAACGGGCCATTCAGCCCAACAAGTCCACACCACCCCTCACAGTATCCCACCCAGACCCATTCCCTGCTTTCCCATGTCTAACCCACCGAACCTAGACATCCCTGGGCATCATGGATAATTTAGCATGGCCAATCCACCTACCCTGCGCATCTTTGGACTGTAGGAGGAAACTGGAGCACCCAAAAGAAACCCACGCAGACACGGGGAGAATGTAAGGGGAGAACATCTCCTGTAGTTTCTGTTTTCACTCTACACGGTCATCCTGGGAGTATCCCAATCACCTTTCTTCAGTCACCATCTCATCCCTAATCTACATGCTGTTCTGTGGCAGCTTTGTTCGTTTTCACATGAATCCCAATTACACTGTGGTCTCTTTCACTACACCGTTCTTGACTACTTCTTCACAGTCACACTTGTGATTTCCCATTGTATAAGAGCTGCATTTTCTTCCACTAAAGATTGGGAGAACCAGCTCCATCATCTACAGCTCCTATTAAAAACGAGTATAGTTTCACCACTGGTTTCCAACCTTTACTTCAGCGACTGTCTTATATTAAATGAGTGTGTTTGAAACCTTATGTGCGACTTGGCCCTGAACTGAACCTTGAAAGCTATTTCCTGCATGTCATAATGATTACCTCTGTAACACTTTGAATATCTTGTTCCCTAATGAAACTCTCAAGTTTGACCTCCAAATTTGCATATTCTAATATTTTCCTGGTGATACACCCATCTACACCCTCTAAAATTGCAGTTTATCCAGGACTCTGCTATTAATATTCTCTCACACATCCTCTTATCCAAAGCTCTTTTTCTTTTCCATTAGTTTTTCGATGTTATTCAATGCATGTAACTGAAAATGTTTTTACTGATGTTCAAATCTTTAATCTATCAATGTCAGTTGTTATTCAGTTGATAACATTGTCAGCTCTTAAACAGATAGTTGTGGATTCAAGTCCCACTCCAAAACTTAGCACAAATTTCAAGACTGATACCCAGTGGAATATTGAGGGCAGGCTTCACAGCTGGAGGTGCAATCTTTCAGCTAAGACCTCACACAAAGGTCTCCCTGCAAGGTAGGAAGGATCCCATGGCACTGTTTTGATGAAAAGCAGAGGAATTATCTCCAGTGTCCTGGATACTGTTTAGCCCTCAATCAGCATACAAAAAACTGTATGTATGCTTATTATCACGTTGCTACTTTTATTTTCTATTTCTTAGGTACCAAATTAAATAATACTTGAAACTATAACTTATGGTGCTGTTGAAAAAAAAGGAATCAATTGACTACAAAGCTGAAGACCCAACAAATAATTTCATACTGAGCCATGCCAGTGTAAATCCTCATCAATTTGGAATTTCCATGTGTGCCTATCCGACTTCTCTACAAACAATATTTGGGTGCTGGTGCAGAGATATCTGCTACCTCAAAAGCTAGGGTAGAAGTCCTTGTCCCAACTCTGTCTGTGTATGACATTAGTAGAATGGGTGGAGCCAATATAACATTGACATTAACCCATTCAGAACCATTATCTTATACAACAGAATCAATTTGGTGCAGGTACGGTACAAGAACTGACCAATTATATGCTCAATGCAGTCAATAAGTGGGAAAGGTGAAAAGGAACAGATTTGCAAGTAAATTCCTTCAGACTCAAACAGCCCTTCCTGTAATCACTGCATCACTTACTTAGTCCCCTTGCACACTGGCACCCTGACCTCTACCCACCTGCCACCCTACTTACCTGGCACACTGGCACCCTATCAAGCTGGCACCCTACTTAACTAACATCTTACCTTGCTGTCACCCTAGCCTGTGTTAGTGTATGTAATTACCATTTGACAGCAGCTGTCAAAGTGGCTGTCGGTATCTTTAAATTTCAAAATACAGTGTTCCATTGACTGTTCTACACTACGAGAAAACTGTCAGAATAGAAATATGGCTCCACATTTTTGAAAGTGCTTGGAGTGGCAATCTGCAAGGGACCACCACTCCTTCGAAATCCAGCCCCATATTTATAATATATTCCCCATTCAAACACTTTGCAGATTATTGCACAAACAACATGGATTACCAGAATGAATACAGCACAGAAGGGAGCTGTAAATAAGATATTATCATCCATGCCTTTATTGCACAACATTTTCAAATGTTTCTTACTGATTTGATGTGTTATCTTGCAATTGCATTTAATCACTTAGCTTTTCCACGTTGGCTTGACTGTATAATATTTACTATCTTCTGAGAAAATTGTAGCCAACTTGTGATTGCCAAAGCATCATATACAATAATTGGAGGGACAATTCTCATCCCATGTCCTGTTGTTCTACACACAGCACATACAGGTTTTGTTTCATTGGAGATGTGATCTAAGTTATACAAGACACAGTTGTTGAGAGAAATGCATGACTTACACAATGAACCAAGTTGGAAAGAATATGTGTGCTGCACCATGTCCATTCTCATTGCATACAGAATGACTACTCATCTTCCCTGAAACAGGATGTCATGCTGGATATTAAGATCATTTATAAAATAGAATAATTAAATCATGGAGCTTACTACTGCTGTTTGCTGGATGGTCAATCATTCAAGATAGGTTCTTCAGAATGTGAAGCCTTTCATTTCTTGCATTATGTGGCTTAATATCTCACATCCAATGTTCAACAGTCAGCAAGTTTTCTATCATCTTGACTGTCGCTGATTTTTAACTGTCGCTTGTCCTTGGAGCTTAAAAACAAATATGTTATGTTTATGTTAGTGGCAAGTTGCATCCATTTTCTTCACAGATAAACAACAAATGGCTGAACTCTTGAGAACTTTGTTTCTAGCTTTTCTTGGAGTATAATGAAATTGTTTCTTTCTTCTTCAAATAATTTCTAACAACTCTAACATCATCCGTCTCTACAGTCCCTGGCCTACTAC